ACGAGGGTGGCCATGCACTGCTTATTGGTGTTGGAGGGAGCGGTAAACAATCCTTAGCTCGGTTAGCAGCTCACGTGTGCGGCTACTCAGTGAAACAAATCGTCATATCGGCTACGTATGGGGTTACAGATTTCAAGGAAGATCTCAAAGCTGCGTACCAAAAGGCGGGATTGCGAGAGGAAGGGGTCGTGTTTCTTTTAGCTGACAATCATATAACCAACGAGCGCTTCCTGGTATACGTAAATGACTTATTGGCCTCCGGTCACATCCCTGACCTCTTTACTACCGAGGAGCAGGAGTCTATAAGCAGCTCGATAGCACCCAAAGCTAAAGCCGCAGGAGTCGCAACTGATAAAAGGACCTGCTGGGAATTCTTTATTGGGAGGGTCCGCAAATACTTGCATGTGGTTTTGGCGTTTTCTCCAGTTGGCGATACATTACGGACTCGCGCGCGGAAATTTCCAGCACTGGTCAATTGTACTGTCATCAACTGGTTCCACGCTTGGCCAAAGGAAGCTCTGTACAGCGTGGGGAGAAATTATTTGGCACAAATCGATTTAGGAGAAAACGGAGACGCAGTGACCTCGACGAAACCTGATCTAGGGACTCCAGCATCGAGTATGAGAGTGACAGGCAATGTAGGTGCCGCGAGAGCGTTTCGAGGGGTGATAGAGCGTTTTTTGCCATACAGCTTTCTTGTGGTAAATGAAGTGGCGAAAAAATTTCTGCGACTTGAGCGTCGATTCGTATACACGACGCCTAAATCATATTTGGAGTTGCTCAAATTATTTGGATTGATCCTCAAGCAAAAGCGCGCAGAATCAGACAATGATATAAAGCGACTTACAAATGGGTTAAAGAAGCTAGATGAAACGACAGAGGCAGTAACAAAAATCGAGGAAGATTTGAAAATCAAACTTGAGAAAGCTGAGAAGAAGAAATCTGTTGCGGAAAGCATTGCCGAGTCAGTGGCACGCGAGAAAGCTGTAGTCGAGATTGAGACTGAAAAGGCCCGAGAAGAGAAAGAAGAAGTTACGAAAATCCAACTCCAGGTGGCTGCTAAACAGAGAGACACAGAAGTGGACCTTGCCAGGGCTGAGCCTGCAGTAGTGAGTGCAATGGCGGCATTGGATACACTCAACAAGAAGGATCTAGCAGAATGCAAGACGATGGCTAAGCCCCCCGCAGGGGTAGACGATGTTTTTGCTGCCACAATGATTTTGTTGGCTGGTATACATCTACACATTTCGCTAAATGCAAAGACAGGAAAAGTCAAGGACACGTCCTGGGATGCTTGCAAGAAAGCTCTTCTGGGCAATATTCAGGAATACATTGACATGCTAAAAGAAATGAAGGTAAATGTGTACAACAGTAAGGTACCTGCGATCAATTGGAAAGAAGTCCGTAAATATCTGGCAATGGAGCATTTTACCAGCGAGATAATAATGTCCAAAAACTCTGCCGCAGCTGGATTGTGTTCGTTTGTAATCAACATCGTTAAGTACTACGATATTATTGTTACGATTGAGCCCAAGCGCCTTGCCCTGAAGCAAGCTGATGATCAATTAGCTGCGGCCAACTGCAGGCTGGCACAAGTGCTTACGAAAGTAGCCGAACTACAAGAAAAACTTGATACTCTTAACACGGAGTATACCTTGGCGAACAGGGAAAAACAGGAAGCCCTTGATTCTGTGGCCAAGGGAGAGCAAAAATTAAATTTGGCTCAACGTTTGACGCATGCCTTATCATCTGAAAATGATCGATGGACAGCCCGAATTCAGCGAATGACAGAGGATAAAGACTTGCTTATCGGAGATGTACTGCTCAGTGCCGCCTTTATTTCTTATCTAGGACCCTTTACAAAACCTTATCGGGATGAGCTACTTTACCAACATTTTGTACCATTTTTGGTCAGAGAACTTCAAACGGCGGTAGGGACTGTACCTTTGTCCTTTGCTCCCGTCACCTCCAATGTAGGGAATAAGAATGACGGGAATCAAGTCCAAGTTTCACCAACAAAAACACCTGTGCAGCTACTAGTCCCGGAAGCACAAATAGCGGCTTGGAATACTGAAGGCTTGCCTGCCGATGCGGTCAGCGCGGAGAATGGAGTGATACTTACAAGCTCAGTTCGTTGGCCTTTGCTGATTGACCCACAGCTTCAAGGCATTAAGTGGATTCGGGAGAAGGAAAGAGGTCGCAACCTTCAAGTCGTACGCTTGGGCCAAAAGCTCCTACTGGAAAAACTTCGAGCCGCATTAGAGAATGGATGGTCCCTCTTAATAGAGAACATGGGCGAAACGATAGATGCAGTGCTAGCACCTGTCATCCGGCGTGCGGGAATTAAAAAGGGCAAAAAACAATTTCTCAAAGTAGGAGATATCGACGTTGAATGGCATCCCGATTTCCGCTTGTATCTACACACGAAGATGTCAAACCCTCACTTCCCCCCCGAAATCCAAGCTGAAACGACTTTAGTGAATTTTACAGTAACAGAAAAGGGCCTGGAGGATCAGCTTTTAACGTTGGTGGTGCAAAAAGAACGGCGTGATCTGGCTGAGCTGAGCGTCCAATTCGTCGAACAACAGAATGGATTCAAGATAAAAATGAAGGAGTTAGAGGACATAATCTTGTCCAAGCTTGCAATGGCACAGGGTGATATTACAGAGGATGTGGAACTAATTGAAGGTCTCGAAAAAACCAAACGTGTCGCTTCCGACATAGCGGCCAAAGCCGCTTTGGCACTTGTCACGCAAGAGCGGATAAAGTCTACAAGTGATAAGTATCGTCCTGTGGCGAGACGGGCGGCTTTGTTATTTTTCCTATTGAAAGATCTGGAAACAATTCACACGTATTATGTGTATTCCCTGGCAGCATTTATACTGGTATTTAATCGTGGAATGGACAGCATACCAGTGCCATCAAAAAGGGTGGAATCGAGCATGGATGAGGAACAAGGAGATGTTGTAAATGATACACACGCGCACTTGGAGGGACAAGATTCTTTGGCAGACATGGAAGAGCAACATTTCCAATCCAGTCTTAATCTAGATTTCAACAGAACTGCTAACACCGGCGCCATGGATGACATGGAGAATTTGAACGTTGTTGATATGACTGACGAGGAACTGCATAATAGGTGCTCCCAGCTAATCGAAGCCATCACCATTACGACTTTCCAGTATGTGTGCAGAGGCCTCTTCGATAAGGACAAAGTAACCGTAGCTTTTCTCCTCGCTTTAAGAATTATGGTACATGAAGGTCGAATATCAATAGAAGAGCTGGAGTACCTGACCTCCTCGAAGACAACAGCTGATCCCAGTCCGATGGGCTCGTTGGTGGAATGGCTACCGTCCAATGTTTGGCAGCGCGTCAAGGCTCTGGAGGGATTGAAAAAATATTTTAATCATCTAGGCGATGCCCTTCAAAGCAGTCCGGATGAATGGCGCGACTGGTTCGATCACGAACAGCCCGAAATTGCCAAATTACCATCCGAGTACGAGAGGGGTTTGCCTCCATTGGCTCGTCTGATTCTACTCCGTGCTTTCAGACCTGATCGGCTAATTACAGCTATCAAGATATGGATATCTCATTCACTTGGTAATGACTACATTTCTCAGCGGCCGTTTGACATGACGCAAGCTTTTCAGGAGACCACACCGAGCACTCCCATGTTTTTCGTCCTATTTCCTGGGGTGGACCCTACGCCGTGGGTGGAAAGCTTGGGCAGAACGATGGGCATGTCGCTGGAGCAAGGCACCTTTGTGAATATTTCCATGGGCCAGGGCCAAGAAGCGCTCGCAGAGGCCGTGATAGAACGTTTCGCCAAATGTGGAGGATGGGTAATGCTCCAAAATTGCCATTTGATGCAATCTTGGTTACCAAAACTGGAGCGGCTCTTGGAAGTTGTGACTGCAAGTGCCACAAGCAATATAAGCGAAGGCGCTGTGAACATAGGGCCTCATCCATCCTTTCGCTGTTTCATTTCAGCTGAGCCGCCACCACTGGCAAATTTGAGGAACATGCCCGAGTCTTTGATGCAGGGGGTAATAAAGGTAGCGAACGAAGCGCCCGCCGACATCAAGTCTAATATGGTCCGGGCGTGGTCTAATTTTTCCCAAGAGCGGATAGACCTTGTGGGAGTGCAGCAACCAAGCACACAAGCGGAGAAGAAACATGCATTCCAAGCTTGCCTGTTTGCGCTGTGTTGGTTCCACTCGTTGATATTGGGTCGCAAGCGCTTTGGCCCGCAAGGCTGGTCTCGAGCTTACAGTTTTAATATGGGGGATTTGACGATTTGCTCTAATGTTCTCCAGGCCTACATCGAGGCGGCACCCTCGGGTACAGTGCCGTGGGCCGACCTTAGGTACATTCTAGGCGAAGTCATGTACGGAGGTCACATAACGGATGCGTGGGATCGCCGCCTGTGTAACACGTATTTGAAAGTGCTTTTGGGCCCTGGAGTTTTCAAGCAGATGGAACTGAGCCCTCACTTTCGTTCTCCCATTCCCGAGTTGATGACTCATGAAGGCTACTTAGACTATATCGAAGCACATATTCCTTTCGAAGCTCCACCACAATTTGGGCTTCACACGAATGCTGAGATAGGTTATTTGACCAATTTTGCATCTTCATTATTAGATACGGTGCAGTCCATAGCAGGAAGCATGCCTGGTGCTCGGGCGACAGATAAGTCGCCTTCGACATCTGAAGGAAGGACAGAGGATGTAGGAAATAGTATTGTACCGAGCCCGATCAGCAAGTCTACTTCCACTGTACGACACATCATGAAGGATTTGCTCGATCGCCTGCCACAGGATTTTGTGCTAGCTCTCTTAGAGGATAGAGCAAAACCCTGGCTGCGATCCAAAAATGGACCTTTCGTTATAGTGGCTCTCCAGGAGTGTGCACGCATGAACACGTTGCTGGGAGAAATTCGAAGATCCTTGCAAGAACTGGACAAGGGATTCAAGGGGCAGTTGAACATGTCGCCCACCATGGAGGATTTAAGCCGGGCACTCTTATCGAATGAATGGCCGGGCCGAAACCCGTTCTCGCAATGTACGTGGGAAAAACTCGCGTGGCCGTCCAAAAAGAGCCTGGAATCGCAGTACAGGGATATGCTTCGACGCGTTCGACAGTTACAGGCGTGGGTGGAGGATTTGGGCAATCTTCCTGCTTGTCTATGGCTTCCGGGGCTTTTCAACCCCACAGCGTATTTGACAGCAATTATGCAGGTGACAGCCCGTCAGACAGGACATCCATTGGATAATATGACGATTGAGACGCATGTCACTACGTTTGCCTCTCCTGAGCAGCTTGGCAATGATATCCCTCCTCCCCACGAGGGGGCTTATGTTCATGGACTTTACATCGAAGGGGCGAGATGGACCCCCCCCGAGGAGGCTGCAGAAACGGTCTCTGTCGTAGGAAACACATTAGTAGGAGGAAACTTGACAGACAGCAAGCTAAAAGAACTCCTTTCCCCCTTGCCAGTGCTGTACATCCGGGCAGTCCCTGTTCAGCCGACGTGGGAGCCGTCATCCGTGGGGTACTTAAGAAATCAACCAGACGTATACGAATGCCCCGTTTATCTCACATCCGCCCGCGGGCCCACCTACATCTTCTTGGCTACGCTTAAAACCGTGGAACCCGTATCGAAATGGGTTCTAACAGGGACAGCCTTGTTGATGCAGAGTGATGACTGAGACCAGCAGAGGTGAAGACGGCGTGTCAAGAGGAGTGCAAGACGGGAGGGGAGGATCCTTGTCGCAGCAGCAAGCGGAATAAGGAGCTTAAAAGGGATAAATCTGAAAAGTTTTGGATAAGGGGAGGATACTCAATACCATATTTCGACGAGCATGTTCATCGGGATCATCGGGAGTTAAGACACTGTGACAATTGATAACAAACGTTTTCGACTCCCGCGCTCCGTTTGAGTCTCGTGTACTTCTTTAGATCTGCCCTCAACATAGACATCCCACTAAACTTGGATCGAAAGATTTCTTCTTGTATGAATGACTATGCTAGTCCTCCAATGCGTGCTGTGCAATCACCACAGCACCTTTTGCATCACTCTGTCACCATTTCAGGTCATCAGAGACACCAGCCTTCCGCTTTTTCACGCATGTCCGTGAGGAGTATCACCCAATCGGACCTTGAATTATCATCTGTGGGGACGTCGACCAAGAGCGCATGCTCCCAGCCTTTCCACAATATTGTCGTCGTATGTATAGAAGAAACTTCCACACCACCCCCTCCTTTTCTTTCGGCCAAGGACCCACCCTCTAATCAGCCCTTGGTTCACTTCCTTCTCGGCTCCTATGCGTTGTTCAGCCGAGCATAGGCCTCTTTATCCTCCCGTCTGATTTCAGCACGGATCCGTTCGCGCGCGCCCCCAGGTCGGGGCACATCCACGTATTTGCCTTCCGCCTCCTCCGCTTCTGTCGCTGCCTCTTCTTTGTCCAGTTGCGCAAGGATCTCGTCCACATTCAAGCCCTCCATTTCCACTACCTCGTTGGTCGTCGGCGACAGCAAGACGCACTTCCCTCCGGCCGCCTCGATGGCGGCGGCGGCTGAAGCCGTGAAACCGTGGGCCAGAACTGTCAAAGGGCGGGTCAAAGGCACGTCGCCACCCACCACCTTGAAGAGATCCAATTTTTGCTTGGTAAGCACGCACTGATCGAGGAGGAAACCGGGGTCAATAATAGTCCGACTGGGGAAATAATCGGCGGCCTCGTTCAGGTGTTCCACCTGCACCAAGGCATAGCGGGTTCGTTTGTGTCCCGGGCCCATCGGGCGACCGGGCCACTTGGGCGTGCGTCGGTACAACGGCGTCTGACCTCCCTCGAAGCCAGGGCGGACCCCCCCACGAGAATTTTGCCCGCGCATTCCGTAGCCACTCGAGCCACCTCCGCCCCCGGCGTTCCCGCGGCCCTTTCGGTGTTTCTTGGGGTAGTTTCCTGGGAAAGGGCGAAGATTTGTCACGCTAGGTTCCTTGTGTCCCTCGTCTCCCACGCCAGGATGCCCCATAATGTCTTCAATGAACTTCATGTCTCGACGCTTGTGATCGAAAAGGCGCATCGTCAGTGATCCCGCGCCAGCACGGTGTGCTTGGATGGAGGGACGGAGCAGAGACTGAGACTGTTGGCCCTTGAAACTACCCGAGAGCATGAATCCTATTGGTTGCACGAGAAAGGCGTGAAATGGGAGGAAAGAAGGGTAAGCTGTCGTCGGCCAGATGGTAACCTTGCAATTGAAAAAGGCCTCAATCTAGTCTATTGTAGGAGAGCTGTATCTCGTTCCAAATAAGTATTTTAGAGTAATTAGACACATTTGTGGAATACATATTACAGTCATCCAGAAGGAAGATGGTGCAGTAAACCCCGGCTCAATAGCCTCTTCAGGGAGCTGACGACTTTCGACTACGCGTCAATCTATGTTAGCCACTCAACAATGTTACAACATGCCTGAAACCTTGAATACTCATAAAAATCACACACACATCAAGAAACCATGCACGCGTAACCAGTAATTGGAAAAACGATCAAATGGCGTACAAGTCGACCGGTCCTAAAATCTTTCCCTGCCATCCCTTGCCCCTGGCTCGACTTTATAAAGCTTACCTGCAACAGCAGGAATGACAGCGAGGGCCACAAGAATGCGTCGGCCACCCATCCTGAACTTGTGTGGGTTATCAAAATGGTTGATGGTCGGTTAGAAGGACGCCGTAACAAGGGCAACTAGGAGGGTAAAGTGCCAGGGTAGATACACTTGCGTGTCCATTCCAGTAGGGCCGGGCGACAGCGAGCTACAAGCAGAATGTCTGAGGAAAAAAAAAACACAGCCGCGGGGACGCCCTGCCTCTCTCTGTAACGAATTGGGCAAAGAGACATACGTGTATCATACCACAACACCTTCGTACTTGGGTATCCATCCTTTAAGGTGGTGTTGCCAGGGCAAGGGGAAGGACACGGGCGAGTGGGTGGCCAGGAGCGGTTTTCCACACAAAGTATATATTCGCATTTTTCGGACACATACACGTAAACTACCTTTTTGACCTCCTGCCCCGGACCTGCCCTTGCCGTGCAAGCCTTCCCTGGCTTCTTTTTTCTTGGTCGCTATGCTGCTTATTATGAGTTGGCTTATTGATAAACGTGGTGTGTCCTTTATTTGCTTCGTACCCTACGTAGCGGGAATACTTCCACTCAACACCGCAATCTGGTGTCGACAATTGCTAACGGCACATGCAACGTATTATACCCACATATAATGTACAAAGGCTTACGAGGGGAGGATCTTCGACTAGCATTTCTATCGAAGATTCGATTATTTTTGTACGTGTAGATGCACACGCACGGAAAGGCTAATACAGGGTGACGTCTTCACGACTGGAAGTTGCAGGCGATTGCCACGCAACCAAAAAACATTTTTCGTTTTTTTACTGTCACCGTCACCATTTGTTTGTCTCTTTTGCTGATACAACTAGCCGTGGGTGTGGCAGGTGCTAGTCGAAGACCTTGCATACGCAATTCTCGGAGTATTGGCCACACGGTAACTCTCTCCTCGACGCGAGTGCTGTTCTTCCCCCCTGATATCACCTTCTGCGGGATGCCTCCCAAGCGTAAAGCCAAAAGCATCGCGGGCTTGAGCGAAGCTAAGACCGATTTACCTACCGCTAACAGCAAAAGAAAAGGAGGCACAATGTCCATCTGCTCTTCTCCCAACAAGGACTCGGACAACACTGCGCCTCAATCACGAAAGGTCCACAAGGCAGCTGGAGCGCTTTCCACGGCACCCCTCCCACCCGAAACAACTTCAAAAGGATCCAAGGTTTCTTCAACTCGACGGTATTTTTTGATGAAAAGCGAACCCGACGAATTCAGTGTGGATGATCTGGCAGCGCAACCCAATCAAACCGGTTGCTGGGAAGGTGTCCGCAATTATCAGGCAAGGAATCTGATGCGTGACCATATGCACGTGGGTGACCAGGCTTTTTTCTACCACTCTTCTTGCAAAGTTCCAGGCATTGTGGGGATCATGGAGGTGAGTCGTGCTGCCTACCCGGACCATTTTCAATGGGACAAAGGCAGCAAGTATTATGATGCTGGCAGCGACCGGGAAGCCCCAAGATGGTGGATGGTGGACGTTACACTCCAAGAACGATTGGAAGAGAAAGTTCCCCTGGAGGTCTTGAGGGAGGAGGCGCTGAAGCCAGGTTGCCCCTTGGCGGGGATGGCTTTGCTACAGAAAGGGTCCCGGCTGAGCGTGCAGCCAGTCCGGGAGGAGGAATGGAAATTCATTCACGAAAAGCTGATCATGGCCCAAAAAGGCACAGGGGTAGTCAGGGAGGAACGAGGGGAAGAAGGGAAGACATCTTCCCCGGATGGAGAAGGAGGAAAGGGTGAAAAAAAGGACGAGAAGAGATTAGGAGGGAAGAAAAAAAAGCGGAGGACAGGAACGTGACAGGGCCTTTAAATCACATGATGACGGGGGGAATCTGGTGAAAGCGATGCAGCGAAGACAAGTGTTGTACGGAAAAGAGAAAAATATGGATTGAAAAGGAGGGACTAAAGGAGGAGAAAGATCTCGACCTCTAACAATCCCTCAAGCCATTGCCGTGGACCCCCCACAGGGTGCTGATAAGGTCCTATTTGACTGAAAACACTTTACAACCGTTTATGTCTCCCACGTGCTTTAGTAGCCATTACTTGCTTTATAAAACTCTTGTTCGATTCCTCTTACCCTTCCCCCTTCTCACCAGCCTATCTATTCTCTCCTATGCTTCATCTTCTCTCAGACCAGGATGCCCAAGAATTTCCTCCGCCTTCCTTCCCAGTAACGCTCTATCCATCCTTTTCCGCTTTTTGCTTTTTCTCCTTCCCAACACACCTTCTCCTCCAGGGAAGGGAAAACACCCTCGGCGCCATATTTGTGCCGGAGGTACACGTATTCCCGCCAATCGTACAGGGGATACCCGCTCCAAAACACGGACTTGTCCCAGTAATTCATCGTGCACAGACCCGTTCTTCCCCCCTTTTTGCCTACCCAGGCCTCGACACGTTGCGTGTGTCCCTGCGCCTCCCCTTTCCCCAAACGGGCGTAC